ATTGATCCAAGTGGTGAAATTATGGTTTTGACAAGGTTTTGCCCTGTAAGTATGCTGTGCTCGTTTTCTTGTTCTATTTTTTCCTCATCTGTGAAACCTAATGCCAGAATTAGTGTTGTCAGAAGGTTTTGCCAGATCAATTTCTTGTTGTGCAATGTAATTATTTTATAGTTCCAACACTAATTGTTTGTTGGCTAACACTAATTGTCCTTTCACTGTAAATCCATGTGACTTATGGTTGAAAATTTCAGTGCTCAATTTATATCCAACTCAAATATGTTTGTTAGCCTTACATGACTTCCAAAGGAAGAGATATGTTCTTTGTTATGCAAGTTTTTATTTGTCTTATAAATTGGTCTGGAACATCATGATTAGAACTACAGGTCGAACTTGTGTTTGGCTTACAATAACTTACATTGTTGTACACTGATATTAGAAGATTCTTTGTATTTTTGCATCTTACAGTGGAAGCTTCATCTATTTGAGCTTGAGGAGGAGATGAAAATCGAACCTTCTATTAAATATGTTCTTTATGAGGTATGTGTACATATTTTTCTTCTAGACACACCCCTGGCCCCAACCATGAGGAGGGTTGAAGAAACCTGTGGGTAATTGAATTCTAGTTTAGTATAGAAAATATGATCATGAGAATTTAAGCAAGGATGAGATTCCAGTGCTCTAGGCTGTGCATTGAGAAGACATCTCATTGCAGCTTATAGATATTATGCTCATCTAGAGAAATAAATACTTACGTTGGATTGATGGTATGTACTAAATTCTCTAGAAATTGATGTGGGCATACGCTGAAAGTTTATCTCTCTATGTTTAGTGGGTGTTAGGGCTTAGGAGAGCAAGAGTGCAGTTTATTGGAATATCATATTTCGTTTTCATTTCATTAAACAAAGGGTTAAGCATTCTTTTAGCTGTAAACCACTCAGTTTGTTTCCCTTACGAGTATGGATTCTCTTTTCAGAAATTTGTTTATATGAATTTGACTGACTTGACGCCAATATACCATTGCAGGATGAGAGGAGCAGACAATGGCGAGTGCAGGCCGTGGCAATAGCTCCTGATAGATTTGAGAGCAGGAAGCCTCTGCCTGCTCAGTGGCGAGGCCTGAGAGATGATGAACTCTCAAAGGAAACAGGAATACCTGGCTGTGTCTTTGTCCATATGAGCGGGTTTATCGGTGGAAATCAAACTTATGAGGGTGCTCTAGCCTTGGCAAGAAACGCTTTGAAACTCTAGGGTCTGGTGACTCTAGTCTATTGAATTCATGGTTTATCTCAGCTTCTGGATTACCAACACAAATTTGAGAACTTTAGCCTGCGGCTTTGAATTCATGTTTATTCTGTGTGAGAATTCTGTCATGAGTTACCAACACCAATTGGACAACCTTTACCTCTCTGTGCTTAAAATGTAGTAAGTCGTTTTCATTCCAAACTTCTAAAATTATTTGTTACGTCTTAAAATCATAGAAGTGATTTGTGATTGAAGTTAATTAATACCTGTTCATTTTATTTGTTATACATTTACCTAACATGATTTATAAAAATATATATAAAAATTTATAAAAATATATTTATTTTTAATTAAAATTTTATATTTACTTTTATTAATCAAGATAATATTAAAAAAGACTTAAATTTTATATTGAAAATTAAAATTAATAAATAAATTGAATCCACTCCTTTCAAAAAGCAAGAAAAGTAAAATAGGCAAAGGGTAAATGAAAATGGATATAACTATTTTTCAGAATTAATCATCACACTTTTATTTCTTACATATTCAACTTTATTTTTTGATAGGTGCATGGTCAGTTATCATACCTAAAAGGAGTTGCCTCAATTTCCTTTGTTAATTTTTATTTTAAATAGTGTTAAATTCTTTTTTTAGTTATGTTTATTAAGAATTTTTAATTTCTTGTCATTCTTTCAACTTCTCTTACCAATTGAGTCTTCCATTAAAAAAGTTTAAGAAAAATAAATAGGAAATTTTAATGTGTTTACAAAATTTTACAATTTTTTAGCAATCTTGTTTGTAAAAATTTGTAACAAGAAAAAAAAAATTACTTATAAAAAATATTTTTTGATCAAATAAAATTAATCATATTAAAACTAATAATAATAATAATTCCATTGTTAATACCTGTCTTTTTCCAATTTTCAAGTTTTCTAAAGATATTTTTAAAGAAAATTATTTTTTTTACACAAATTGCATATAAAAACATAAGGTAGAAATAGATAAA